TGACCTGTAACTTGGCCCGGTTTGGTCTCCATGAACATAGAAAGGTTTAATGCCACACTGTGAAACATTCCAGACAAAGCAATGATGTCTTCATGGAGAAAAGCGTTTAACAGATCCTCCACCAGAAAAGCTACACAATGCTTTCTTTCTTGATTATCATCACTTATTCAAATGACTATGTAGCTTTTTGTATAGTTTTTTAATCATCAAGATGCCTTCCACCTGTAATGTGCGAGGTGGGTGAAGTGTCTTGCCCAAGGACGCAACAGAACTCAATAAAAGCAGAAATTGGGTCTTTGAATGTACCAAATCAAACGCAATGTCAACCCGAACATTTCTATGAGCACCACAAATGTTTGTACGTAACAAATTTTCAAAAACATCTCATTTTCAACACATTTTGAGTAAATTATTAAAACAGGAAACAGAAAACGTAGATCAGAGGTGTCGGTAAGAGCAGAGGGCACAGAAAAGATACACAAAATAGAGAATAAGCCATGCCTGAGCACACACGGACACACGACGGACTCACAACACCACACAATTTACGAACAATCCAACTGACTCAAAGTTATTAGTCCATTATTCCACAACAACGCACAACCAGCCAAAAGAATTATGAACGAACATGATTACAGTAACTCAAAATCCCACAATACACTGCAACGGTTAAAAAAACAACATCTCAGATCAACAACGCACAAGCTTTGACACCACAACAGCCAAAAATCCACAACAAACCGAGAAAACATCACTATTTGCAAACTTAAAAGGTCCGATACTACGCAAAAGTGACTCTTGTGAGCGTTAAGCCGTGTTAAAATGTTGTTACGTCCTCAAAAACAGACCTGGAGTTGTGTTTTGTAACTCTTTATTATTCGTCTGTCTACATCTCCAAAGCTTAAAATGCTCTGTTCCACCTTGTGATGTCATGAAGTGGTAGTTTTCAAGTTTTCAAAGTGCATTGTGTGGTTTTTTTGGTTGGGGATGCGTCACCTGCTTCAATTACAAATGTATTTACAGCTGAAAAACACCTAGAAAAATGGACATTACTTAGAAAATCAGACATGAGAGGGGTTGCCTTTCCACAGATCTGACCTGTAACTTGGTCTGGACAATGCAGCCATACAGTTACAAGTTACAGTTACTTCTTGTTGGTTTGCTTTTTTACAATTTCCACAAAATGTTTACTGCTAAAACACTGTTTCTTTAAAGCTGCACTATGTAACTTTTTGGTTGGGGGTCCATCACCTGCTTGTTTCTATGGAGACGTCATTGCTCGGCCTGGAATGTTCCACAGTGTGACTTTAAACCTCTCTACCTTACATTTATTCAATTACAGGTGGTTTTACGGCTCAAAAATACGTAGAAAAGCTGGCGTTCTGACTGTGAGCGGGGTCGCCTCTCCACAGATCTGACCTGTAACTTCGTCTGGGTAGGTCTCCATGAAGATAGAAAGCTTTAATGCCATACTGGGAAACATTCCAGACAAAGCAATAACATCTCCATGAAGAAAAAGCATTTGATGGATCCTCCACCAGAAAAGTTACACAATTCAGCTCTTTTTACCATGAGTTCAGTAAAGATTGACAATTCCTGGGCTGAAATCATCCAAAAAATTCTAGTGAAGGTGGAGTCAGTGTTGGGAAGGTGACTTTTAAAATGTATTCCCCTACAGATTACAGATTACATACCCCAAAATGTAATTTGTAACGTAATCCATTAAATTACTTAAAGTGAGTAACGTAATCTGAATACTTTGGATTAATTGATATTGTCATGTTTTTTAAAACTACATGAATGTAACAACTACATCCTGAAAATTCATGTCTGTTCTCTTCAAACCTGGTTTTGGCCCTGGTTTAGACCTGGTTTAGTCCTGGTTTAGACCTGGTTTAGACCTGGTTTACCTGGTTTAGACCTGGTTTAGACCTGGTTTTAGTCCTGGTTTAGACCTGGTTTAGACCTGGTTTAGTTTCCTGGTTTAGTCCTGGTTTAGACCTGGTTTAGTCCTGGTTTAGACCTGGTTTACCTGGTTTAGTCCTGGTTTAGTCCTGGTTTAGTCCTGGTTTAGACCTGGTTTAGACCTGGTTTAGTTTAACCTGGTTTAGTCCTGGTTTAGACCTGGTTTAGAGTCCTGGTTTAGTCCTGGTTTAGTCCTGGTTTAGTCCTGGTTTAGACCTGGTTTAGTCCTGGTTTAGTCCTGGTTTAGACCTGGTTTAGACCTGGTTTAGACCTGGTTTAGTCCTGGTTTTAGACCTGGTTTAGTCCTGGTTTAGTCCTCCTGGTTTAGACCTGGTTTAGACCTGGTTTAGTCCTCCTGGTTTAGACCTGGTTTAGACCTGGTTTAGTCCTGGTTTAGTCCTGGTTTAGACCTGGTTTAGACCTGGTTTAGTCCTGGTTTAGTCCTGGTTTAGACCTGGTTTAGACCTGGTTTAGACCTGGTTTAGTCCTGGTTTAGTCCTGGTTTAGACCTGGTTTAGTCCTGGTTTAGACCTGGTTTAGACCTGGTTTAGTTTAGCCTGGTTTAGTTTCCTGGTTTAGTCCTGGTTTAGTCCTGGTTTAGTCCTGGTTTAGACCTGGTTTAGTCCTGGTTTAGTCCTGGTTTAGTCCTGGTTTAGTTTAGTCCTGGTTTAGACCTGGTTTAGACCTGGTTTAGACCTGGTTTAGACCTAGTCCTGGTTTAGACCTGGTTTAGTCCTGGTTTAGTCCTGGTTTAGCCCAAAATGTGAAAACAGGAAAATACTGCCATATAATCCATTTATTTCAACAAAGTAACTGTAATCCAATTCCCACTCACTGAAACAGTAACTGTAACTGAATACAGTTACTCATAATTTGTACTCTGATTACATAACTCCGGTACATGTAATCTGTTACTCCCCAACACTGACTGGAGTGAAGCACTTCCTGTATTACCACATGACATCACAAGTTGGCACAGTGAGTGTTTTCAGTTTGAGAGAAGAACTCAGTCTAAATCTGCAGGTTTTGTGAGTTAAACATGTCAGTGAAACAAAACTAAACAAGTCCAGGTACGTCAGATGAAGAAAAGAGGTAGAGCGTTTCACTGGGTCATAAAAAATAAAGTAAAAAATAGCAGTACAGGTGCTCTACGAGGGTTAAACTTGTAAATTTAATAGAAAATTACTCTTACTGAAAAATGTAAAAGTGGGCAAGGTACAACTCTGACTGAATATATTAAAAGTACTTTATTACACGAAGGGACGCCAGCATGTTTCTTAATGGTCCTGGGCCTGCTTATCTTTCAGAACTGCTTTTACCCTACGAACCCTCCTGGACCCTGCGCTCGTCCGGCAGCAGCTCCTGGTCATTCCCAAAGTCAGGACACACACTCACGGAGAGGAGGCGTCTTTACAGAACTACAGCCCTCGTCTGTGGATCTGCAGCCGGAGGAGCTCAGGGCTGCAGAGAACGTTCATGTTTTCAAGAGCAGGATCAAGACCCACCTTTTTAACTTAGCTTTTGAATGAAATCTTATACTTTTACTTGTTTTTTATTGTACACATTTTATTATATTTATTTATTTTAGGCATATTTTTTAGGATTTCCAGTGTTTCCTCTGTAGGAGCCTCTGCGTCAGGAGCGGAGGTCGGCTGTGGCTGCTGGGTCTGTCCTGTGGGCTCCTGGTGGAGGGTTGGTGCTTTGGGCTGCATCTCTCCCCTGGCTCCTGTGGTGGTTCCTGGTGGTGGTGGACGTCTCTCTGCTCCCGATGCAGACGGCTCCTCTGATGATGCTTTCTCAACTGGTTCTCCTGTATTCAGCCTCACATTTTACTCTGTCTGGTTTTATCTATTTCATGATGTGTGTGTGTGTGTGTGTGTGTGTGTGTGTGTGTGTGTGTGTGTGGGTGGAGAGTCCCTGCCTCAAGTGGAGGAGTTCAAGTATCTCGGGGTCTTGTTCACGAGTGAGGGGAGGACGGAACGTGAGATTGACAGGAGGATCGGTGCAGCTTCGGCAGTGATGCGGTCGCTGTATCGGACCGTTGTGGTGAAGAGGAGCTGAGTCGAAAGGCGAAGCTCTCGATTTACCGGTCAGTCTTCGTTCCTACTCTCACCTATGGTCATGAGCTCTGGGTAGTGACCGAAAGGACGAGATCGCGGATACAAGCGCTCGAAATGAGTTTCCTCCGCAGGGTGGCTGGGCGCTCCCTTTAGAGATCGGGTGAGGAGCTCAGTCACACGGGAGGAGCTCGGAGTAGAGCCGCTGCTCCTCCACGTCGAGAGGAGCCAGTTGAGGTGGCTCGGGCATCTGTTCCGGATGCCTCCTGGACGTCTCCCTCGGGAGGTGTTCCGGGCATGTCCCAGCGGGAGGAGGCCCCGGGGAAGACCCAGGACACGCTGGAGGGACTATGTCTCTCGGCTGGCCTGGGAACGCCTCGGGGTTCCCCCGGAGGAGCTGCAGGACGTGTCTGGGGTGAGGGAAGTCTGGGAGTCCCTGCTTAGGCTCCCGGCCCCAGATAAGCGAACGAAAATGGATGGATGTGTGTGTGTGTGTGTCTGGGTTGCTTGGTTGTGTGGGGTTGGGTAAGTGGGTGGGTAGATGGAAATGTGGGACTGTTTTTAATCACTGTAAAGCACTTTGTGTTACATTTTGTATGAAAAGCGCTTTACTAATAAAGTTTGATTGATTGATGGACCAGCAAAATGACCATGATGCCCTGACGAAGACCATCTTGCTCGTCGAAACATGTCGGCGTCCCTTTGTGTAATAAAGTACTTTTAATATATTCCTATTATCTTGCCCACCTTTACATTTTTCAGTCAGGGTCATTTACTGTTAACACAACTCCAGGTCTGTTTGCGATGAGGAAACAACATTATAACATAGATCTGAAAATAGCGTAACATGAGCCCTTTAAATGGTCCAAAACAATCCACAGAAACGACAATGAAAAATACAAATACTGTAAATATAAGTATTGTGTGAGTGAAGGGTGAGTTCTAGTAATAGCAGGTTACGTGAGTAGAATAACTTACTTTGTCTTCTTGGCTGCGTCTGTCTCCTCTGGTTGAGCTTTAAGGGGAAAAACACAACAATTATTATTATTATTTTATATTTCTCTCTCAGTTTTGTGTCATGTTTTTGTATATTTATGGAGAATTGTGGACGGAGCTTTGCGGAGAATCTTACAGATAATTTTGACTTTTCCATTTATTATTATTTATTCATACGCTTGAGAGTGAGAAACATAATTTATGAAGAACTGACAATAAACTTTTTTGAACTTTTGAACTTTGATAACCGTAAGGAGGGTCTGAATAGGGACTGGGAGATATCACTAGATTACTCAAACTTGCTCAGATGACTTAACATTTCTTCGTAAATTTTGCAATTTCACTTAACGATGCATTGTGTAACTTTTCTGAATGTTACACAGTATGGCATTAAACCTTTCTGTCTTCATGGAGACCAAACCGGACCAAGTTACAGGTCAGATCTGCGGAGAGGCGACCCCGCTCACACTCAGAATACCTGTTTTTCTAGGTATTTTTGAGCTATAAAACCACCAGTAATTGAATAAATGTAAAGTAGAGCTGTTTAATGTCACACTGCGGAACATTCCTGGCAGAGCAATAACGTATCCATAGAAACAAGCAGCCAGTACCCCAACCAAAAAGTTACATAGTGCAGATGTTTTAGATTACATCACTACATTCTATGTAGTGGCAGCTATAATTAATATTGATAAAATACAGATTTTTGTTGTAATACAGTGAGCTTTTGAGACTAGTAAAAAATATAAAATGATCAGGTTCACCATCCGTTTATTTGTATCTTGAGTTTTCAGACAATCTAAAAATATTTTTGGTGGTTATTGCTAATGCGTGACAACACACTCCAAATGTCAGTGCTTTGGTCAGACACTGGGAGGCGCTCTTTAACAAGGAAACTTTAACAGTTTTGTATAAATGGAAAGGACTACGTTGGCACAGAATATTAATTCTAAATCTAAAAACAACCAAGTAGTAAAATAATAACTATTGTTGCTACTCAGCGTTTCAGGTTCATGCAGCTAAAACCTGGAACAGTCTGAACATGTGAGACAGACTCTTCTGTGACGCTGTTTAAATCCAGGCTCAAAACATTTCTGTTTAACTGTGCATATAACTGAAAGGTTTTCATTCCGCACTCTTCTCTCCAATTTATTTTAATCTTCATGATTATTTATGTTTTGATTTGTTTTTATTATGATTTTAATGTATTTCTTATTCTGTAAAGCACTTTGAATTACTTTGTGTACGAATTGTGCTATACAAATAAACTTGCCTTGCCTACTGATGGTGTCACCACAGTAACTGATGAAAATTCTGCCTGATGTCACTGCAAAGTATCAACATAATCCCTAAACCAGGGTCTCCAACCTGTAGCTCAGGAGCTGCCAGTATCTCTCCACCCCCTGCCAAGAAGCTCACCAAGGGACTTCTGAATTATACTTATTATGCTGAATAAAAAAAATGAAATTAATTAATTGCCATTTTAAATGTCTCATTTTGATGCCTCTTTGTGCACTAATAAATGGATAATGGTTTATGTTTTATAGGCGTCTAACTGCTCCTCATCTAAGGCTTGCTGTGGATCAACTTCTTGTGATCACTAAAATGAGTTTCGTTTTGTAAAGGTAGTTCACCAGAGGAAAAGGTTTAGAGACCCCTGACCCCTGACCCCTGACCTAAACCCTTGTCTGTAGCTGCTTACGGTTCTCGGTGCCGGTGATCTGGGCCAGGATCCTGAAGGACCTGGACTGGGTGGTGCCAGTGCGCGGGCGCCAGTCCTCGGTGTCCTCCATGATGCGTTTGCGGCTGGCGTCGGCGTGAGTGGGCACATGGTAGAAGTGGATGTCTGTGTCCACGATGTGTTTACGAGGTGCTCTGCTCAACGGCACAAAGAAAGAAGAGGAGATCAGAACTGTGCATTGAAGGAATTTAAAGGTCCGATATTACACAGTATGTTGTCATGTCATCATGCTGTTACCTCTTCAAAAACATGACCAGAGTTGTGTTTTATTTCATCAACATGTTTGCATAGCCCTTTATTATTAGTCTGTCTTCATCTTCAAAGCTCAAAACACTCAGTTCCACCTTGTGATGTCATGAAGTAAGTTAACACCTACCTTTTACTTTTAGCTCAGTAGAGACAAGCAATTCCACAGCTAAAAAAAATCACCCAAATGATTTTAGGGAAGGTTTATGGAGTTTCTGTTTTCTGTTTAAGAGAAGAACTCAGCCTAAATCTGCAGGTTTGTGCGTTAAACATGTGAATGAAACAAAACACAACTCCAGGTCTGTTTGTGACGAGGAAACAACATTATAACATAGATCACAAACAGTGTAATACTGGCACTTTATCACGTATGGAGACAAGAAGACAAGACTTTATAGACGCTATGATGATGAGTTTGTGATCCAGGGCTGCACAGAAGATCTCAATAAAGACAAGCAAGTTGCAGATCCCCGTCTAGAAAAGTTACAAAGAGCATGGCAAAGGAGAAATTCAATTTCTCAAATGGACAAAATTCGAATACATTTCACAGCTCATCCAATTCAAACCTACAAACACTTCAAGACAAAAACTGGTCCACCCAAAGGACAAAACACTGAGCCACAAACAAAACAATGTGGTCTACTCCATTTAGTGTAGTGAAGACTGCAGTGAACGCTACACTGGAGAAACAAGACACACACTTCACAAAAGGATGAACCAACACAGACGAGAGCAGCAGTGGACCTCAGTCTCCTGTAAATCTTTATCTCAGTGCCACGGGCCACTCTTTTGAGGACATTGAGGTACAACCTAGTGCCTCCGCTCAATTTTATTTCTCTCCAGTGACTAAGGAATCAAAATACAATAGACAGTTCACAAAAACCCTGGAAGTGTGAGTTCGGGCACCAACCAATCAGCAAAGAGTGATATATTCAGTGTTGTCAACGATTCCCGAGATCTAGGATTTAAAGCCAGAATAAAGAGAATGTTTGGTGAATTTTATCAAGGGAAAAGACTTTATTGTCCTTCTTCCTACGGGATTTGGAAAAAGCTTAATACACCAGTTAGTTCCATTAGCGGTCCATTACATACCTCACTGACCAAATAGCAGCAATTGGTTAAATAAAAAAAGTACCCGCCTACCGTCGAGTGAATGAATTCTAATGCTGTGAGGTCAGACAGTTTCTACGAAGTGAAACGAAGTAAAACCGGCTGATGAAGCAGACTAACAGATCTAAGCCAGAGAAAAGAATTGGTTTCAGAGGGGAGTTAAAGAAGCAATTTTTTGTTAAGAAAGAGAATTCATCTCTAAACAGAAATGGAGGACTCAGACACCATCCGTCTCCTATTTACAACTCCATCCTCAAACCTAAATCAAAACAAACAAAGAGAACAACAGGTGTAGCCAGGTCAGGTCCAGAGGTGTGGAATTATATAGCGCTGAATGATTCTGCTAATATGACCCCACACTGAGTGCAGTTCAATAGGTCTAACTAACAGAAACTGTAAACAAGTAGATGTGTTAGTTTCAGAGTAGTTTCAGTGTAGTGAGCTCCTCCCTGCAGAGATATAAAGACCCTAACCCTAACCAGCATCTGACCAGAACTGAAGAAGCAGCTTGGATGAGCAGTAGGGATGGGCATTCGATTAAATTTTCTTAATCGATCATCTGAAGAATTAACGATCGATTATCAATTAATCATTAGCGTTTTTATATTAAAATTATCATCATTATTATTATTACTATCTGCTCTACTAACCTGCATAAATAAATTCAACTTTACGACATATAAACCGTTAACGCTCTAGAGCCACATCAGCCTGTTTGACATTATAATGTGTTTAATTCAGTTTTGCACAAGTCTCATAAAACTTAAAACCACATGAGTCATTTGCATAAACAAAGCGAAGAAAAAAAACAGCTCTTGTGTCGCTGATGCGGTTCAACTTCTGTTGGACTAAAGGACACGACTCAGTGGAATACAGGTTAGTGTGACCAGATTTGCCTGGTTCTGTCAAAACCCGGACACCGTGCGGGGGGAGGGAGGTGGGGCCTGACTGACTGTTTGTGTTTGCTCGCTCCTGAGTGCAGAGCTACGAGAGCCGCTCAGTTTAATGGCCCAATGAAAGGAAATGAAAACCCAGACATCTGCATCACTGTCAGAATAATTTTATTATCCCATATTTGCTAAATACTTGTGTGATATTCTAGGCCTATGAGTTAACCATTTATGTACTACAATTCTTTGATTTATAATGTACCAATCACTTGTCACTTGTTGAATAACCTCTGTGTGTTTGACAACTGTGTGCAGTGTCCTATCGCTCTAGTGAACCTCGAGATGATTCCTCACATGAAGCCAACTCCCACTGTCACACATGCAAGAGTTATGATGGTGTCTGACCTAAGGCACCTCCTGATTGTTAATCATGTTTTATGTGTTTGTACTATGCATAGCTGCATCAGTTTCTTATTATGTCTTGGCTGTTTCCCCTTCTCCTTGAGAATTATCATTCTGTAACTAGGGCCTCCTAATGAAATAAAAAGAGGAGAACGGCCTTGAGTCATCAGAACGTGTGGAGACTGTTGGTTTTGATGCCCACTCTCTGCCCGTTCTCCTCGCGAGTAAAACTGAATTAATCTCTTGTCTTTCTTCTTGTTTTAATGTTAACCTAACAATCACTTTATAAAAACACAACCCGGACGGCCAGAACAGGACGTGGAAAATGGACATGTCCGGGGAAAAACGGATGTTTGGTCACCCTACGCACGCACAGCAGCCTACATTCTGTTTGTCGATTAAAAATGAACGTAATCGATGAAATTCTTAATGATCAATTATCGATTAATCAACTAATCATGCCCATCCCTAAAGAGCAGCGAAACATATTCCACCAAATAAACTTTTGTCCAGTTGACCAATTGTATTTCTCCTTTGCCGTGGATTCAACCTGGACGACTGAGGGATTTTTCACAGTTACATAGAACATCTTTAATTTATTTCAAATGGTGGCGTCAAAATGAATCAGATGTTTCACAAATCTGATTCATACAGGAGTTACTGAATCCCAGGTTTCTTGTCTCGTATTGTGCAGCTCTGGTGATGGTTTCCCTGTTTGCTCATGAGGTTAAAAACACCACAGCCAATGGTTTAGGGTGAGATGTTTGATCAGATGAGATGAGACACTCGTGTACCTGGGAGCCTGAGGTTTTCTTTAAATCAAATCGAAAAATAAACAAAAAGGAAAGGTGCAAATAAGACAGATGCAACAACAAACCAAACCGAAGACATTTCAGTGATTTGACTTCAGACTAAACTTACTTCATAATGCTCTGAGGTCCACTACAATGTGCAGCGAAGTGGAAAGAGGAAACAGTACGACAAATCAGAAATTGTTTTGTTTTAAGTTAGAAGAAAGTTAGAAAAATAAGAAGGAAGGCCGAAATAGTTTAGTAGGGCAAATTTACAAATTTCATCCATTCAAATTGCATTAAAATTTTGATTGTGATTCAAATTAATCTTAAAGCCCGAGTGTTAAGGGACGGTCACAGCACGACACACTCAAAATGTTAGTGCTTTGGTCAAACACTAGGGGGCGCTATTTTGCTCTTTTTTGTATCTAAACAGATAAATCGCAAAAAAAATAAAAATAAAAATAAATAAATAAATACAGGTGCATTGTGTAACTTTTCAGGTGGACGGTCTGACAAATGGTTTTCTCCATGTCATTGCTTTGTCTGGAATGTTTCACAGTATAGCTTTAAATCTTCTTTCTATCATCATGGAGACTACGATCAGGTCAGATCTGTGGAGAGGCGACCTCACTTAACGGGAATGCCTGACTACATGTAAAGTAAAGAGCCGATTTAGTGCCATACTGTGGAACATTCCAGGCGGAGCAATGACGTAACCATAGAAACAACAACAGGTGACGGACCCCCAACCAAAAAGTTACATAAATAAATGTTCAAATAAGAAAGAAGAAAGGAATTGTTTGTCTTTCACGACACAATCCAAATGTCAGTGCTGTGTTCAGCCACAGGGAGGCGCTCTTCAACAGGGAAACTTTAACACTAACTCTTCTGAATAACTCGAATAAAAGTCTGTCGGCCCATCGAGATCTTTTGTACCCAGAGATAAAAAAAATGTGTGTGTCTGCTAAAAAAAAAAAAAGACAATAGGAAAAAGTAAAGGAAAAATATTGTGGTTTGTAATTAAAATCCTACATAACAAATGTGGGAACAGAAGCCTAGAAGTGCAAAGAAATTAAAATAAAACTCAAATTCATATATAACTAACATCAAAAAGTCACTCGTGTTATATGTTATTTCAAAACAACACCACAAAAGTGTAGTTTAATATATAAGTATAAATGTAATATATGACTATGTCTATGTGTAAGAGTTTTATAGAGAGTTTTATTTATTATAAAACATGCACAAAGTGAAAGGAAAATAAAGCCACATGCAGGAACATTGAAGAGAGACTAACTTTACAACTGCACGAGCTGCTCCTGTCTGCAGACGAGAGAGAGGAGAGAGAGGGGAAAGAGAGGGAGATGGAGAAAGGAAGAGTGGATAATGGTGAAGAAGGAGAGAGAGAGATGGAGAGAGGAGCAAAACAAGGAAGAGTGAGTGAGTGTGAGAGAGAGAGGAAGGGAGAGAGAGAGAGGAGAGAGAGAGAGCGGAAGTGAGAGAGAGAGAGGAGGGAGAGAGGAGCAAAAGATGAAGGTAAGAAGGGAGAGAGAGAGGCACGGTGAAGGAGAGAGAGGAAAATTGAGAGAGAAAGAGAGGGACGAGAGACGGTGAACGGTGAAAAGGGAGAGAGAGATGGAAAGAGGAGCGAGTGATGAGGGAGAGAACGGAGAGAGGAGAGGTGTGGGAGAGAGAGGGAATTTGAAAGAAAAAGAGGGGGAGAGAGAGATGGAGTGCGGAGCGAGAGATGAGGGAGAGAAGGGAGAGAGAAAGACAGTCAGAGAGGAGAGGTGTGGGAGAGAAGGGAAAATTGGAAGAAGGAGAGAGAGATGAGGAAGAGAATGGAGAAAAGAGAGTGTGTGTGTGTGAGAGAGAGAGAAGAGGAGTGTGGGAGAGAAAGGAAAATTGAAAGAGAAAGAGGAAGAGAGATGAGGGAGAGAAAGTGAGAGAGGGAGAGTGAAAAAGAGAGAAAGGGAGGGAGAGAGAGAATAAGGGAGTGGATAATGGTAAAGAGGGAGAGAAGAGAGAAAGAAAGTGAGTGAGAGAGAGAGGAGGATTGTTGGAGAGGAAGGAAAATTGAGAGAAAAAGAAGGAGAGAGGAGATGTGCGGGATAAAAGGAAAAGGGTGAGAGAGGGAGGAAGGGAAGGGATGAGAACAGAGAGACAGAGAGAGAAGAATGGATGGGGTGAGGAAGAAGAGAAAAAGAGAGAGAGAGAGAGTGGTATAGAGGGAGGAGGGAGAGAGGAGAGAAGCAGGTGGAGTGGTAGAGAGAAAGAAAAGGAGAAAGAAAACAAGAGGAGAGAGAAAAACAGGACACAGGTGCATTGGGTAAAGGTCAAGAGATCGTTTCAAAATCACGTTTTCCTACCAAGAAACATGCAACAAAACACAAACACACATGAACAATCCTCTGTTTTATGATCAAAACGTGAAGGTATAATTCAGAGGAGAGGAGGAGGAGCAGACGGACGAGTGGAGAGGAGGAGGAGGAGGAGGAGGAGGAGAGCAGCTACAGTTTCTATTTCTGTCAGTCAAACCAAGTGACAAAAGCTTGAAGTGGATTTTTAAACATTTGTTTCCTACGCTGCTCCTTCGGGTATGATTTTGTTTTCTTTTGTATTCTTTTCTTTTCTTATTCTAATGACATTAAAGGCGCACTGTGTAACTTTTCTGGTGGAGAGTCCAGGATCTGCTTGTTTCCATGGAGATATTGTTGCTTTGTGTAGAATGTCCTGGTATGACATGTTTCCATCTTGCATTTTCCCAATAATTTATGCTTTTAATGACTTAAAAACTCACTTCCACAGATCTGACGTGTAAACTCGGTCCTGTGGCGTCACTATGGAAACAACTCTGAGTCATATAGTTCAAAGGAAGATTTTTAAAACATCAGACAAAAAGTTATAAATCAAAATACCAAATAAAAAAATCAAACAAAAAAAAAATTAAATATATAAAGATTGCACTCAAATTTTTTTATGTAATCATGTAAAACATCCTTTGCCTCTTTTATTTTGTTCCCCCCTCTTTCTCTGTTTTGTTTGATGATTTTTTGTTTGTTTGTTTGTTTTTTCCCTTTGGTTCTGATTCCATCTCTCTCGTTTTCACTCTCTAATTTTTGGTTGCAGTTTTGACACACGTGTGACAGGTGGGTGGGCTTTTCTAATATTCGACGCCGGACGGTGACCAGGCTGGCGACACCTAGTGCCTCCCCTTGATTTCATTTCTCTCCGGCGACTAGATCAGGAATCAGAATACACTAGACGGTTTGTAAGAACCTCGGAAGTTGTAGACCGAGCAATGGCCAATCAGTGAAGAGCTGTGAAGCCATGACGTCAAACTCGTGCACCTGTCTGGGTCCCTCTTGTGGTACAACACAACAGTAAACAAAGCGTCGAGATGGATGTAGACGAAGACAGACATTCTGTGTTGGTCAACGATTTCTGAGATTCGAGGATTTAAAGCCGGGACAAAGAGAATGTTTGGTGAATTTTATCAAGATGAAAGACGTTATTGCTCTTCTTCCTACAGGATTTGGCGCATTACAAACGTCACGACCAAATAGCAGCGATTGGTTAAATTAAAAAAAGTACCCGCCTGCTGTCGAGTGAATGAATCCTAATGCTGTGAGGTCAGACAGTTTCCATGAAGTGAAACCGGCTGATGAATCAGGCTAGGTGCACGGTTCTTCTGGAACAATGTTATTCTAAACAGTTTAAATACTGGACAAACTTGTCTGTGTTGCAGTCGATAAAACTACAACAGCTTCCAGAGCCAGCGCCAAGTTTACTTGTCCATCAAACATAAATTAGCCAATAGGAACGCACCTATGGAAATCCCACCCACTTGTCACGTTTGTACCGAAACTTCAACCAAAAACTCCGGGACAGCAAACGAGAAGGCTGGAACCGTAACTAAAGAAAATGGCATCAAACAAAACTGAGAAACATGCAGAACAAAAACAAACTGTTTCCAAAGAGGCAAAGACAGATATTTTACAAGATTACATCAATCATTTGTTTGCAAATTTATTTATTTTACTTTATTTTCCCTTTTTATTAGATTTTTTTGAATTTGGTATTTTGATTTATATTTTTTTGCTTGAGGTTTTAAAAGCATTCTTTAAACAATTTGACTCAAAATTTATTCCATACATCAGGGGTCCCCAATCCCCGGGTCGTGTACTGGTACCGGACCCTGGGCCGTTTGGGTCGCGAAAGCGGAAACCCTCCCCTCCTATACACATCTCTAAACCAGAACTAAACCAGGACTAAACCAGGACTAAACCAGGTCTAAACCAGGATTAAACCAGGTCTAAAGCCATGACTAAACCAGGACTAAACCAGGTCTAAAACAGGATTTAACAAGGTATAAACCAGGACTAAACCAGGTCTAAACCATGTTTAAACCAAGTCTAAACCAAGACTACAACCAGGCCTAACCCAGGACTAAACCAGGACTAAAACAGGATTTAACCACGACTAAACCAAAACTAAACCAGGGCTTAAACCAGGACTAAAACGAGGCCTAACCTTGGACTAAACCAGGACTAAAACAGGCTTTAACCAGGACTAAAACGAGGCCTAACCCAGGACTAAAACAGGATTTAACCAGGACTAAACCATGCTGCGCCACCACAGGCCCTGTCCTGTGAAATATTGTCCGACATAAAATTGATTTGTGACTCTTAAAAGGTTGGGGACCACTGCCATACATCATCTGCTGTTTCCATAGCAATAAATCAGCGTAATGCCATACTGTGGGACATTCCAGGTAGTATCTCCATGCAGAGAAGCTGGTGACAGACTCTCCACTGTAAAAGCGACACAGTGTACCCCGAACTTCCACCAACTCTCAATACTTTTTCACTTTTAACTGAGTAAATCACTTCTCGGACCATGACTTTGTACTTCTTGTTGATGAATATTATTTTGAAGTATAAACTGTTTGTCTTCTCTACCCTCCTGCGCTCGTGTTTGCGTTTGGGGTCGTCCCGTCTCCACTCACCCGTTGGCCAAAGCTCCGCCCTGGCTCTCCAACAGGCCCCGCCTCTGCCCCATGGCCACCTCGCAGGCGTTCTGGGCGGAGTACAGGTGGATGGGCGTGTTGTAGACGGAGGGCTGGGGGGGCACCAGGATGGGGGGGGGGCGGCGGGGGGAGGGGGGGGCTGGGGGAGGAGGCGGCGGAGGAGGAGGAGGTGGGGGTGAAGGCGGAGGAGGGCGAGGGGATGAAGGGGGAGGGGGCGGCGGGGGTCCCGGGAGGTAGGGGGCGGCGTGGGGGGGGCTGGGGCTGTGCGGGTGAGGCGGCGGGGGGAGGGGGTGAGCGAGGGCCACGGGTCTGATGATGTCGTCCTGGATGGGGGTGGAAAAAAGCGTGCACACGTCACACACACACAAGTACTGATGTCTCTCTGGGTTTGGTCGTAAAAAGCTCATTTTACACGATTTTCTTCATATTTTATGTAAGTACAAAGTTGTTTCGTTACCACAAATATGCCTGGAGATTTATTTAGTTTTATTCTTTTTTTTTTTTTTTTTTTAATTCAGCTGTATGAAGTTGGCCCAACATCAAACTCAAACCTACACAAAAACTATGTCAACATTTTTGCTTCATTTGAGCCGTTTTGTACGGAAGCCGAGAGGGGTCACAACAAACGCAAACGCCGCAACAAATACAAATGCGACAACACAACAAAAAGCCACAAAAAAACCCCAAAAAAAGCCACAACGGAAATGACCGCGGGACTCTATTTTTACGCAAATGCCGCAACACATTAAAAAGCCACAACACATTAAAAAGCCACAACACATTAAAACACCACAACGGAAGTGACCGCGGGACTCTATTTTCCAACGGACCGATCAAGAGAAAGTGAAAAGTAAAGGAACAGAGAAGTTGGAAACGTAAGTAAAAGTAATTTATTGTTTTATCATTATTCGTTTCAAGTTGTAGTTCTTCTTCTTCACTTGCCGCTTGATTGGTCCGTTACAAAAGTCCCGTGGTCACTTCCGTTATGGCTTTTTAATGTGTTGTGGCTTTTTGATGTGTTGCGACTTTTTAATGTGTTGCTACTTTTTAATATGTTGCGACTTTTTAATGTGTTGTGGCTTTTTAATGTGTTGTGGCTTTTTAATTTGTTGCGGCATTTGCATTAAAATAGAGTCATGCGGTCCTTTCCGTTGTGGCTTTTTTGTTGTGTTATGGCTCTTTTTGGTGCGTTGTCGCATTTGCTTTTGTTGTAACATTTTCGTTTGTTGTGACCCCTCTCGGCTTCCGTGGTTTTGTGCTGCAAAAAGTTTCGTTTGTGATATTATGGTTCTTAAGAGAGAATTAATAGCCTCAAAACAGGCAGAAAATTATACAAAAAAGATTGTATTTTGTTGTGTTGTTTTGTGCTGTGACAATTTTCATTTGTGCCAGTATATTTCTAAAATTATTAATTATTATTTCTGCGGAAATTATATAGCGTCATTTCCGATCAGCAAAACTAGTGAAGATAAATGATCTCATGTGGAAAAGTCTGCAGTAACTCGCTTTTGATTCATATTTTATATAATAATGCAGACACAGCCTGAGATCGTTTATCTTCACTAGTTTTGCGGAGTTTGTCGCCATCAGCTGAGTGAAAATTTTCTGCTGTTTTGAGGCTATTTAACATTTTGAGGGGCTGGTTGACTCTCCTGATTCATCAGCCGGTTTCACTTCGTGGAAACTGTCTGACCTCGCAGCATTAGGATTTGTTCACTCGGCGGTAGGCAGGTATTTTTTTTTTAAACCATTCACTGCTATTTGGTCATGACATATGTAATGTATGTAATGGGGTTAACTGCTATATTAAGCTTTTCCCAAATCCTGTAGGAAGAAGGACAATAATGTCTTTCCCCTTGATAAAATTCACCAAATATTCTCTTTGTTCCAGCTTTAAATTCTTGATCTCGGGAATCGTTGCCAACACAGAATATATGGCTCTTCGCTGATTGGCTGGTGGAACTCGCACTTCCGAGGTTCTTGCAAACCGTCCAGTGTATTCTGATTCCTGAACTAGTCACTGGAGAGAAATGAAATTGAGCGGAGGCACTAGGTGGCGCCGCCTGGCTACTGGATGACGTCATCGGCCAAAAATAAAACCGCTAATATTTTAAGAACCGTAATCGCACAAAAAAGTTTTGCAGCACAAAACAGCAGAAACGATTGACATAGTTTTTGTATCGGTCACCCTTCCTCTCCTTCTCTCCTTTCCTCTTCCTCCCCTCTCCTTTCCCACTTTGTGATGTCATGTGGTAATACAGGAAGTGCTCCACTGTGTTTTTAAACTCCATACACCTTCATACACCTAGAATCATTTGGACAATTTCAGCTCTGGAATTCCCATTCTCCACTGAACTAAAGGATAAAAGGAGCTGTTCACATGAAAACTACAACTTCATGACATCATAAGGTGGAACAGAGCATTTTGAACTTTGGAGAATCCAGGAGTTTAGGTGTTTAGTCTCATTTTAAATAGTTAAAATATTATTATTAGTTTGATGATTTTATTTTAGGAGCAGAGAGACATCAGTACTGTGTTGTATTTCATGCATCTCAATAATGTCAACATCACTTCAGACAATTCAAATGACAAAATGCATTAAAGCTGCACTGTGTAACTTTTTGTTTGGGGGTCCGTCACCTGCTTGTTTCTATGGAGATGTCATTGCTCTGCCTGGAATGTTCCACAGTATGACATTAAACAGCTCTACCTTATATTTATTCAATTACAGGTGGTTTTATAGCTCAAAAATGCCTAAAAAAACAGACCTGTCCTGTAACTTGGTCTGGTTTGGTCTCCATGATTACGAAAAGGTTTAATGCCATACTGCGAAACATTCCAGACAAAGCAATTACATCTCCATGGAGAAAAGCATTTGATGAACCCTCCACCAGAAAAGTTACACAATGCAGCTTTAAACACGTAAGAGGATACATTACAGGCAAATCTTGAATTTTTCCGAAAGAGTAACCTCAAAATGTTTACGTACAGTGACCTTCAAATAAAGATGGACTCTGGAACTTTTCACCTGCTTGTTTCCATGGAGATGTAACTGAATTGTCTGGGATGTTATGTATTTCCATGGAAACGAGCAGATAGCACCACGAGGTTAAAGGTCAGGTCTGTGTCTGTGGTTTTAAAGGGTATTTTTTGACCAATGAAATAATCTTAAATTCACAAAATGCCACATAAAAGTTGCATTTTTATTATTATTATACTTTTTAATTATTTTTTTTGTTTTACTTGCAGTGTCTCCTCTTAAAATACCTGATCCATACTGATAGAGAAAGTAAAACATGTGGCAACAATAGACGATATAAAGAAGTGGACTAAGGGAGTGTGACGTCACCCATAATGTTTTGCTCCAGTCAAATGAAGCTCATCGAGGCCTGCAGTTACAGGGATGAATTTGGAACGGAATAGGCATTTTTTTAAACAGACAAAATAGCAAAATAAAAACACCAGGATCACGTAGAGCAGGTTAATACGAACATTTTAAGACCAAAACCAGACGGAGCGAGGGGGCGACAATATTTCAATGGAAGTCAATGGAAGTCGGGGTCAGATGGAGCCGGAAACGCCCCCATACTCACTTCCTGTTTGGAAAATGGCAGGTTCAAAGCTACTGTATGTCCATTTATATATACAGTCTATGGCAACAACATGTATTTTTTGTCCTATTCACCTTTTTCTGCCCATCTCACTCTGATTTCTGATGGCGACTGACACACACTTCTGTTCGTATTGTCGCCTGTTTACACGAGAACGTTTGCGGGTAAAAACATGACAAAATATTTTATCGGAAGTGCCTTTCTTTTAGACAGTGACAGCGTTTTTGGGACTTAAAAAGGCAAAAATCTGAAACCACCCTCTAGAGTGGAAAAGTTTAACACACTCCGCTGTAGCGTTTCTGTCTGCACTGCCCAAGACGCAAAACTCCGGTCAAATCTGCTCACGTCGCGTACACGTTTACGTCACATACATACAGTACACAGAAACCTGGCATGCATACACAATCGAATTCCACACACTTTTGCGTCACCGTACGCACGCAGATTTCCTCTCGAAAACGCTCGTCTAAACGCGGAATAAAAAGTGAAGACGCGACGCCACTTTTGCGTCTTCTGTTGTTAGTCTGCGTCATCTTGAACCGATGTGCACCTCCGAAGTTTTGTAACTATGCATTGAACCGACGCAGACGCCGACGCAGACAATACAGGCTGTAATTGGTCTTCCCTACATCCGCTCATTTCCGGTACTCTGTCTTCCTGCTTCATTTCGTAAACAAGAACACCATTTTTAAATCCTAGCCAAGTAGTATTTTGGGGGTGAATTACTTCTCGGCGCATAGACCTCAACGCACATCCATAAATCAAAAACGATGGCGACAAAGCGGCAACGGCGGCAGTGTGAGTTGAGTCGACGCAGAACTATAATTCAGCCTTTAGTCCACTTCTTTATAAGGTTGATGATGACTATAGTGCAGCACTTTGAGACGCTTAAGCAAGTCTCTGCATTACAAGAGTTATTATTAAAGAAATAATTTTAGGTGTCAACTAGGGGTGAAACGATATCCAAGTCTCACGATACGATATTGTCACGGTATCAACCTCACGGTAAGATATTTGTTGCGATAAATAATACAGTGAATATGCTACTTTTTCCTCTTAAATGCCTTGACAAGACTTAATCCAAAGTACTAAGATTTAAAAGTGCTAAGAACTGTTTTCTTGTAGTCTGCACTGAAATTGAGCAAAGGATCATGGTCTATGTAGTTCCCTCTGTCTTTTTTGTAACTATTGCCGCACCATAACTCTTAATTTAAGCAAAGAGACTTGTAATTCAATATATTGTGATGGGCAACGATATTATTGTGAGAACTCTGACGACGCGATATCAAGATATTTCGGTTCTTGTTACATCCCTAGTGTCGAATCAGGTCTTGATAAAACTGATAATAATCGATGTTTACTTTCTCTATCAGTTTCCAGATTATTCTCAAAAACTGTGAGATGGATGAGTGGTGTTTCTACATGAACGTGCAGGAGGAGTCTTCTTACCTTGGGCGCGACTGGAGGAGGTTTGGGAACACTGGGAGCCCTGGAAGAGAGAAAGAGGGATAACAGGATGAATAAAAACATCATAAAAATGGGAGGGGGAGAGGAAGAGGAGGAGGAGGAGGAGGAGGAGAGGAGACAGAGGAATAACAATATGGGTAAAAACGCCATAAAAATGGAGCAGAGGAGAGGGGCAGAGGATGAGAGAAGAAGAGGAGGACAGAGAGTAGAGGAGGAGAGATGCATGCGTCGGTAACTCAAAATGAGTGGGACGGGCAGAAGAAAAGAGAGGAGAAGAGTGGAGGAGAGGTGAGAGGAGAGGAGAAGAGGACAGAAGAGAAAGGAGAGGAGGAGAGGAGGAAGGAGAGGAGAAGAAAGGAGGGGAGGAGAGAGCAGAGGAGAAGAGAGAAGGAGAAAAGAGAAGAGAGGCGAGAGGAGAGGAGACGAGTGGAGGAGAGGTGAGAGGAGAGGAGAAGAAAGGAGAAGAGGACAGAAGAGAAAGGAGAGGAGGAGAGGAGAAAGGAGAAGAGAGAAGGAGAAAAGAGGAGAGAGGAGAGAAGAGAGGAGAAGAGTGGAGAAGAAAGTAGAAGAGGAGAGAGGAAAGAAGAAAGGAGGAGAGACGAGGAGAGGAGACGAGTGGAGGACAGGAGAGAGGAGAGGAGAAGAAAGGATAAGAGGAGACGAGAAGAGAAGAGAAGAGAAGAGAGGAGTGCAGGAGAAGAGTGGAGAGGAAAGGAGAGTGGAGAAGAGAGGAGAGGAGAAGAGTGGAGAAGAAAGTAGAAGAGGAGAGAGGAGAGAAGAAGAGTGGAGAACAGGAGAGAGGAGGAGAGGAGAGGACAGAGGTCTTCCAGAGTGGAGCCTCCTCAGATTGATGGGACCCAGCGGGAAAACCGAGCAGCGGCGAGTTTGGGAGATTGCGAAAGACGGCGGTTACAGCAGTGAATTATGGGTAACGTGAGCTCAAAGTATGGACGACATCATGTGAGAAGAACCCCGACAGGTCCAGACCAGACCAAGTCCAAGTCCAAGTGTAGTCCAGACCAGACCAAGTCCAAGTCCAAGTGTAGTCCAGACCAGACCAAGTCCAAGTCCAAGTATAGTCCAGACCAGACCAGACCAAGTGTAGTCCAGACCAGACCAAGTCCAAGTCCAAGTGTAGTCCAGACCAGACCAGACCAAGTCCAAGTGTAGTCCAGACCAGACCAGACCAAGTCCAAGTGTAGTCCAGACCAGACCAGACCAGACCAAGTCCAAGTGTAGTCCAGACCAGACCAGACCAGACCAAGTCCAAGTGTAGTCCAGACCAGACCAGACCAAGTGTAGTCCAGACCAGACCAGACCAAGTCCAAGTGTAGTCCAGACCAGACCAAGTCCAAGTGTAGTCCAGACCAGACCAGACCAAGTCCAAGTGTAGTCCAGACCAGACCAGACCAGACCAAGTCCAAGTGTAGTCCAGACCAGACCAGACCAGACCAAGTCCAAGTGTAGTCCAGACCAGACCAGACCAGACCAAGTCCAAGTGTAGTCCAGACCAGACCAGACCAGACCAAGTCCAAGTGTAGTCCAGACCAGACCAGACCAAGTCCAAGTCCAAGTGTAGTCCAGACCAGACCAGACCATGTCCAAGTCCAAGTGTAGTCCAGACCAGACCAGACCATGTCCAAGTCCAAGTGTAGTCCAGACCAGACCAGACCATGTCCAAGTCCAAGTGTAGTCAAGACCAGACCAGACCAAGTCCAAGTGTAGTCCAGACCAGACCAGACCAGACCAAGTCCAAGTGTAGTCCAGACCAGACCAGACCAAGTCCAAGTGTAGTCCAGACCAGACCAGACCAAGTCCAAGTCCAAGTGTAGTCCAGACCAGACCAGACCAAGTCCAAGTCCAAGTGTAGTCCAGACCAGACCAGACCAAGTCCAAGTGTAGTCCAGACCAGACCAGACCAAGTCCAAGTGTAGTCCAGACCAGACCAGACCAAGTCCAAGTCCAAGTGTAGTCCAGACCAGACCAGACCAAGTCCAAGTCCAAGTGTAGTCCAGACCAGACCAGACCAAGTCCAAGTGTAGTCCAGACCAGACCAAGTCCAAGTGTAGTCCAGACCAGACCAGACCAGAGTCCAAGTCCAGACAGACAGACCAGTCCAAGTCCAAGTGTAGTCCAGACCAGACTAAGTCCAAGTGTAGTCCAGACCAGACCAAGTCCAAGTCCAAGTGTAGTCCAGAACAGACCAGACCAAGTCCAAGTGTAGTCCAGACCAAGTCCAAGTCCAAGTGTAGTCCAGACCAGACCAGACCAAGTCCAAGTGTAGTCCAGACCAGACCAGACCAAGTCCAAGTATAGTCCAGACCGGTCTAAGTCCAAGTCCAAGTGTAGTCCAGACTGGTCCAACTCCAAGTGTAGTCCAGTTCAAGTCCAAGTGTAGTCCAGACTAGTCCAAGACCAACTGTAGTCCAAGTGTAGTCCAAGTGTAGTCCAGATTGGTCCAAGTCCAACTGTAGTCCAGGCCAGCCCAGGTCCAAGTGTAGTCCAGACCGGTCTAAGTCCAAGTCCAAGTGTAGTCCAGACTGGTCCAACTCCAAGTGTAGTCCAGACCAGTCCAAGTCCAAGTGTAGTCCAGACCAGTCCAAGACCAACTGTAGTCCAAGTGCAGTCCAAGTGTAGTCCAGATTGGTCCAAGTCCAAGTGTAGTCCAGACCAGTCCAAGTCCAAGTGTAGTCCAAGTGTAGTCCAAGTGCAGTCCAAGTGTAGTCCAGATTGGTCCAAGTCCAAGTGTAGTCCAGACCAGTCCAAGTCCAAGTGTAGTCCAAGTGTAGTCCAAGTGTAGTCCAAGTGTAGTCCAAGTGTAGTCCAGATTGGTCCAAGTCCAAGTGTAGTCCAGACCAGCCCAGGTCCAAGTGTAGTCCAGACCAGCCCAGGTCCAAGTGTAGTCCAGACCAGTCCAAGTCCAAGTCCAAGCGTGGCTCTGTCTGACCTGTGAGCTTCTGGTGACGTTGGTTATATTTAATACTCAGAAATATTATTATTATTTTATCATCGGGGACATTTGGTACTAAATCAACATCTTGGTATAATGTTGTTTTCTCATCAAAAACACGTCTGGAGAAATATTCAGAATCATGTTTAAGTCGTTAATTTGCGTGCCGAGCAAAAAGAAAACAAGAAAAGGAAATCTGTAAAGGTAGCCCCTATAATTATAAAAAAAGGGCTTTGAAAGATGCACGGTGCAACTTTTCTCCATGGAGATGTTACTACTTTGTCTGGAATGTTTCACAGTATGGCATTAAACCTTTCTATCTTCGTGGACACCAAATCAGACCAAGTTACAGGTCAGATCTGTGGAGAGGCGACCCCGCTCACAGTCAGAATGTTTGTTTTTCTAGGTATTTTCGAGCTATAAAAGCACCTGTAATTTGCTAAATGTACAGAGGAGCTGTTTAATGTCACACTGTGGAACATTCCAGGCAGAGCAATGACATCTCCATAGAAACCAAAAAAGCAGGTGATGGACCCTCCACCAGAAAAGTTACACAACACTGCAAAAAACTAAATCTAGCCAAGTTAAGATGACTTGAATTAAGAAAGTTTCATCACGATTTGAGTGAATTTCACTTGACAAGTAAAACGATCCACCAGCGGAACAAGACTTTTTGTACTTAAAATATGAAAAAACATCTTGCTACACTCAAAAAAAGAAAAACAACAACTTTTTGCTCTTAAAATAAGACACAAAATCGAATGTTGCTTGAATAAAGAAAAACACACTTGATTCCATTGGAAGATCATTTTACTTGTCAAGTTGAATCGACTCAAATAAAGTCAAATGTTCTTAATTTAAGTCATTTTAACTTACCTAGATATTGTTGTTTTTTTTGGTTTTTTTCCACTGAATACACCTTTAAAGAGCTCATATTGCTCCAATTTCAGATCTATGTTATAATGTTGTTTCCTTTTTATTGGGAAGCTGGTTAATGTGCTCATAATCAGAACTCAGAAAATGTCTATTTCACCAAAAAGAAGTTATTTAAGTTCAGTGTGGCATTTTGGCAAAAAAAAAAAAAAAAAAAAAGTAATTTCTTAGTTAGTGTTGGAGTGTTTAACATGTTTGACCTTTAAGAGTTTTAAACCATGTGTTCCTCCATCAGTAGTTTACTCAAAGTTGTAGTTTTGAGGAGGAACTCAAAGTCAGTGGACTCGTTTCCATTATTAAAGGTGCATTGTGTAACTTTTCTGGTGGAGGGTCAAATGCTTTTCTCCATGGAGATGTTTTTCCACAGTGTGACTTTAAACAGCTCTACCTTACTTACATTTTTTCAATTACAGGTGGTTTTACAGCTCAAAAATATCTAGAAAAACAAACGTTCTGACTGTGAGCGGGGTCGCCTCTCCACAGATCTGACCTGTAACTTGGTCTGGACACAAAGGTTTAATACCATACTGTGAAACATTCCAGATAAAGCAATAACATCTCCATGGAGAAAAGCGTTTGACGGACCCTCCACCAGAAAAGTTACACAATGAAACTTCAAGCCATGTTAGTTTTGAAAATTTTGAAATACACATTGAGCAACATTTTAAATATAGATCTACGTATTAAGGTTTAGAGAGTGTAGGGAGATTTGTCCTCTGCATTTGACCCGTCCTTCAGTGTCTCTGGGTTAAAACTATCAGGAGCAGTGGGACCCATCTCCAGATCTTGAGCTAAACTTAGGCTACGTTCAGACTGAAGTGACCCAAATCTGATTTTTTGGCCTCTATGTGACCTGAATCTGATCTTTTAATGACAGTCTGAACCACACAGATCATTTTTTTTCAAATGTGACCCAGGACACTTGGATATGTGCTCCTGAAACTGATACATGTCTGATCATTTGACATGTGACTTCAGTCTGAACGGCCAAAGTGCATTCATCCGACCTACACGTTATCAACAAGCCACAAATGTACAGAAACGTTCTTCTCGTCATAAAAAAATTGTTAATGAACTCCGTGTCACTGAAGCGAAGCACATCGCACTCCCACCACTCTTGGCTACGTCTCCACATCCAC